TCACCCACCTCCCTGACCGCCTTGCCCCTGCCCGCGACGCGATCCTCGCTCACCCTTTATCTCTTCTCAACCTCCCTTACTGAGGTAGAGGACCGCCTCCATGCCATCGCTGGTTCCACTAGCGCTCCAGCGGTCCCTATCCTTTAGTGCAGTGCTCCCTCTCCGGTGACTGTCCCTCCTGCCTCCGATTGGTCACGAAGTGTTCGAGCCCTGTTGATGTAATCCGAAACATTCGCGTTGCCCAGCATCTATACAGTTGTCAGTTGTGAGAGAATCTTACTCATGGAAATGGTCTCATATGCCATATATAGCCCCTTCAAATGCTTCCATGCAGATTCGGCTCGAGTCAAGCTGGTGTGAAGCGAGCGTATACCAAGCTGCTCTTTCAGCGACAGATTGCGGATAAGAACTGTGTAAGCGCTGAGTGAAGCATGAAGAAAACTTTGCTCCTCCATCTGTGTTCCCGTAACAGGATACGAGTAATCGCCACTGAAGAACGGCCATAATCCAGCGGATTTCGCGAGGAGATCGAACTCGAAACTCCAAGAGTAGAAGCCACCGCCATTAAAATGTAAAATTGTTTTGATCAGTGTATTACTTAAAAGGTTTGGTGCTTTTAAAACAGGTCCAGTAAAAGAGATCTACAGCTGCGGAAACTGTTGTTGCTGTTGTTGCTGTTGATTTTGGTGCTGTTGCTGAAACTATTGTTGCGCTTGTTGATGTTGCTGAAGAAATTGAAGCTGTTGATGTTGAGCAAGTGTAAACGCGAACGAAGAACCGGAGCTTGGAGCGACTGCAACTCTTGCATAGCTGGAACCATCAATACTCATACCACCGAAGGCCGCTGTTACTGATGCTGCTGCTTGTTGCTATGATGTTGCAGGTGCCGAGGACGAAGTCCCCGGTGGATGCACAATAGGCAAAACTTGCTGCTGTTGAGGCATCCCAATTGAAGAATAAGCAGGTGGAAATTTTCCAGCTGCAGAGTAACGTGCTTGACCTATGAAGACTGTAGGATTTCTAATACCCGTGGGTCCAGTTGTTGAAGAAGAAGATGTTGGAGTTGGTGATGGTCCGATCATTTGTAGAATTGACGATAGTTTTAATTCCAGACAGCTCGCATACCATGAAGGAAATTGGGGTTGGTGATGGTCCGATCATTTGTAGAATTGACGATAGTCTTAATTCCAGACAGCTCGCATACCATGAAGGAAATTGAAAGGTGGTGCAGGAGACAAAGTATAGAATCTGCAGACACAAGTACTTGAAGTAGAAAGTAATACTAAAAGTACCTCCAGTAACAACCAGTATTAACAAGTTGTAATACCAGAATCAGTGTTACAGCCTTATGATACTTCAAGACTTAATCAAGGATCTTTGCTGGAATGGTAAACTTGTAGGTGTTGACCAGAATTTACTGAAGAACAAGTTGATAATTGAAGCCGTACAAGCTACTTTTATATCTACTAGAAGTACTTATTCGGTAATGTACTTGTTCAAAACTATTTGCGCTATGCGCTCTAACCGCTACTGAAAGGAGCGCGACTGTTCGCGTAACTGAAACGGCTTGCTGATGTAATTATCCAGACGAGCGCTATTTGCTGACGTCGTTCTAGGGATGCTAACTACAGTGTAACTCGACAATATCTATCGGAACTACTTACAGAAATGCTTAAGTACGATTTTATCACAACACTTCGAGTGCTGCTGCCCTTTCTTCACGAGTCACGGTGTTAGGCGACGACGTATTTACAATTTTGTGGAAAGTTTTGGGCGGCTTTCGGTACGATGGCACTGCGTACACAATTGTGGCTGTAGGTAATTATCGATTAATATTACCAAGACAGCGGATATGCAGTAAGCACTGGGTGTCAGCCTCTGTAAGTGTCGGTTTTCCAGCGGAACTAGAGCGCAAGGCTAAGGATCGTTGGCTCTGATGGCCATGTGTAATGAAACGCAAAGAGCGTGTGTCGCATAATTGAGTAGCGAGGAATAATACAACAGAGGCAACATCAATTAGCAAGGAGTATGGATATAGCTAGCCGAGAGCACACGGTCGAGGCTCGGCAGAGCTGTTATGTGGGTTTGTAAATTGGCGCGAAGCGCCTAGATCTAGGCATGAAACAGCAAGGCAGGAAAAATGCATGCGGCTCGTCAGGAGGCCACATTTGGGTCCCGCGATCTGAATTTCATAGCAGAGCTGGGCGGCAACTCCGTTATAGCAGTGTACGTCGTACTAACTAAAACCCTTGATAAGGGAAGACCATTTCCTTACAACTACACCCAAGCCCTCTTGAACTTGGTCTTGAACTCACCCTGGCGGTATTCTCAAGGGTTTCGTTTCGTCAAGCAGACGCTGTGCAGGGCGCGGAGATGAGAGGGCATAAGCGGGGAAGCGGAGATGCCAATGGGGGGAAGCGCAGAAGCGCGGAAGTTCATCGGGCTGGACTCTGGAGTGTGGTGGTTGGCTTGGCTGATGGTTGGCGGGGAATGTTGGCGGAGTCCGTTTGGGGGATATCAGCGCGGCAGGAGGTGGAAGGGAATTGCCGCGGGAATTACTGTAGCGCGTGAAGTTCGGATCTGGTATCGTCAGAAAGACGCGACGAGGGTTTCAAGTCAGTCAGCCTGCTAACTGCTCAACGGCAGCCATGGCTGATGGTTGAACTAGGTTGAATTCCAGCGGACATCTCCATCATCCTGGATGAGTAAGGTGGAAAGGTGATACATTAGCTTCGTCCTCGGCTTCATCCGCCGTTTCTTGTGGTCTTGTCGACCCGTTTACCGGGTCTAATGCTGTCGCCTGTCTATCTATTTCGACGTATTCCCTGCGTTTTACCAGAAAATAGTTTCAGTTGTTCCTTCTTCAGCAAGAATCACTGCCATCAGCAATAAGGATAGATGGGAACGACACAGCCGTTCTTTGATTGGGCCGGATTCCCAGCTGGCGTACGCTTCGAGCCGACAGATGTACAGTTACTGGATCATCTCTTAGCGAAGCTCGACGAGGAGCACCCCAGCAAAGACGACGAGGAACAGACTCTTAAACCCGGCGTTAAGCGGCAAGCCAGCCGAGGGAAAGAAAACGTGGCAGTGGGGATTGGTAGTAAGCCACGGGTGCAACGAGCCCGGAGACAGCAGCATCCGCGCGTGGGGGAGTTTATTCCGACGCTGGGATTCGAAGACGGGATCTGCAGCGTTTATCCGGAAGACTTGCCTGGTAGGGTTGCCGTTATGGCCTCGTCTGGCCCAGCGTATTAACGTGACCCCTTTTCTTGTTTCGAGCTTCAGTGACCTCGTTACCTGACAACCTAGGTACCATGTTTCGACATGGCTGTGGGAACGTCGGTTGTCGTAGAAACTCTTTCGCTTCCGATCGATCCAGAACGAAGGGTCTTACATTGCTCCAGTTGTCCCAAGGCAGTCGCAGTTTTCCTGATCAGTGAGAATCTTTGTAGAATAATGATTTTCTAAATGTCTCACAAGCCAGTGCTGCTTTCCCCCGATCGCGTCCATTTCGTTCCCTCCAGGCATTGTCACGGACGGCACCACGAGGCACTACTTCCACCGCCCCTCGCGCGCCTACGCCATGGGGCTGCGCAAGAGGCGCAAGATCTTCTCAGAACGCCCCTCCGCCAGCAGCCTGCTGCCAGGCGGGGCAGGAGGGGTGGACGCTGGAGGGGGGAGGGAGGATTGCGGTTACAGGTGGCACAAGACGGGGAAGACCCGCCCCGTGTTCGCCCGAAACCGGAAACAGGTAAGGCGGTGGAGCAATGTACTCTCAGCCGTTGATAAAAGGTCTTCTGGCGGCCTGCTATGCTAGCACGTCACGCCTCATGCCTACTCCCTGATACGCCATGGCATGGCCCATGGGGCTGCGCAAGAGGCGCAAGATCTTCTCAGAGCGTCCCTCCGCCAGCAGCCTGCTGCCAGGGAGCACTTTAGGGGTGGACGGCGCGGAAGGGGGGGGGGGGGGGGGGGGTAGGGAGGAGTGCGGATACAGATGGTGCAAGACGGGGAAGTCCCGCCCTGTGTTCGCCCGAAACCAAAAACTGTTTGATCCCTACGGACTCTCTGCTGGGGGTGAATTCAGTTTGTAGTTAAAGATACTACTATGTATAGTCCAACGTACGACCGTTACATTTTGGTTTCATTTTCCTCCGACTGTTTGCCTCCCCTTTCCCCCTTTCCTCCTCTGCAAGCCAGAGTAGATCGGTTGGAAAACAAAAATTCCCTGGTCTGTATGAAACGCGCCCCTAGAGGGACATGCAGTGTTTCTAGGCGCGTCATTAACCCTGCTTCCACTCCAGCCCCCCTCGCCCCCCCACCCCCCACGCCAACTCCCCCCCTTCCCTCTCCCCCCTCACTCACCGGCTACAGATCGGATGGAAAAAAATCCTGGTGCTGTATGAGACGCGCGCTCAGAGGGGCAAGAGCCTTATGAGGCTCACTCCCCAACCCCTCCTTTCCGCATGCACATCACCCCCACCAGATCGGATGGAAGAAAATCCTGGTGCTGTATGAGACGCGCGCTCAGAGGGGCAAGAGGCGAGGAGCAGACGAGCGGAGCAGCCCTGCAGGGGGGGCCGGGAAGGACCGGAAGACGAACTGGATCATGCACCAGTACCACGTGGGCGAGCAGGGCGAGGAGAAGGAGGGCGAGTGGGTGGTCTCAAAAGTCTTTTTCCAGGTAAGGGTTCTGGCGCTATAGAGCTCTGAGAGGTAGGGAAGGACCCGAAGACGAACCGGATCATGACCAGTACCACGTGGGCGAGCAGGGCGAGGGGAAGGAGGGCGAGTGGGTGGTCTCAAAGGTGTTCTACCAGGTAAGGAACCTACTGGTGTGCTTTCCTGTCTAGGGTTGAAAGCGGAGCGGGGCAGCTCTGCAGGGAGGGCTCTCTCTCTGCCTCCTTGCTTGCTCGCTTGCTCTGAGTCTCACACTCTCGTTTGCACCTTCTCCCCGTTTTCCCATTCCCAGATCCAGCAGAGGCAGAACTCAGGCACACGGGCAGGCAGCAGGGAGACCTTTCTGCCAGCTTGATTGCTTGATTGCTCTGAGTCTCACCCTCACACTGTCTTTTGTACCTGCTCCCATTTTTCCATTGCAGATCCAGCAGAGGCAGAGTTCAGGCACACGGGCAGGCAGCAGGGAGGGGTCGTTGCCCCCCTGTGTGGGCCAAGGGGCGGAGGAGGAGGAAGAGGGCGAGGGGAGGGAGGATATTGAAGCAGTGGGGGAAGGGGGGGCTTTAGGGAAGGACGAGGAGGCGGAGGAGGAGGAGGCAGTGGATGATATTGAGGAGGTTAATGACGAGGATGAAGATGGCAGCATAGCAGTGACGCCTAGAGCAGCGGCTACGGGGAGAGGAGGGGGATTGGGGTCAGGGTTGGGGGCAGGAGGCTCGAGTGTAGGGGCTATAGCAGCAGGGAGGAGAGGAAGGGGAGGCAAAGGAATAAGCCCTGGTGGCCGGGGGGGTTCTAGAGCGGGTAGGGCAGCAAAGGGGGGAGTGCTGGCAGCAGCGAGGGGTGCGTTTCAAGTCTCACCCCCTTCAGCCGCATCAGGTGGGGTAATTACAACAGGCCTACCATCCCCATCGCCGTCTGCTGCTTCTCCCCTCTCATCAGCAGCTGGCGCCATGGTGCCAGGTGCTGAACAGCCTGATCTGAGTACCGTAGCAGGAGGAACAGCACCAGCAGGAGAAGTGGGTGCAGCAGCAGGGCCCGCCCGCCTGCTCTCCTTCCAGAGCCAAGCTCCCCCCAGCACACTCCCAGGGGGTTATTTATCAGGCATAACTGGTATAGCAGGGCCCCAGACAGGCGTTGCTAGTGTGGGTGTGGGATTCACGCCTTTCAATAGGAAAGGCGGGTTTGCTGCCGTTGCTGCTGCTGCTGCTGGGGCCTGGGCTGGGGCTGGGGCTGGGGCTGGGGCGGTTGTTGGTGCAGGTTGTGCTGCGGGTGGTGGTGGATTGGCCATGGCAGGGGACGTGAGCAGCATCACCAGCAACAGCAGTGGCAGCTGTCATGGCAGTGGGATGTTCCTCTCTCCTCCTGCCAGCACCCAGAGACGGGTGGGACTTAGTGGCTTTGAACCACTTGGATTTGGTAGCGTTGGTGCGGCTGCTGGTGCCGGTGCCGCTGGTGCTGCTGGTGCTGCGGGTGCTGCTGGTGCTGCAGAACCCGTCACTCCCAGTACTGCTATGCCTCTTCCCATCACCCCCCCCTCCGCCCAGTCTGCCTCGGGTCTTCTGGCATTGAAGCCGCCTGGTTGGGGAGGAGAAGGTGGGAGGTTGGTTCTGTGCCAACAGCAGCAGCAGCAGGGTAACCAGAGCTTGTGTGGTAACCGCAGTTTCGCAGGGAAGGCATTGCTAGCGGATTCTTTGCCTGGGACTGCGGCACCTGCTACTGGTGCTACAGGTGCTACGGCCGCTACAGCTACTACTGGTGCTACAAGCGGTGCAGCAGTGGGCAGTGTGGTGGCAGCAGTGAGTGACCTGAGGGCGTATGAGCAGTCGCTGGGAGACAGCGCTTCAGACGTCGGCTCGCACCCGCAGTCAGAAGAGGTGAGAATGCTTCTCTTGCCCGTCCATCTCCCCTCTCGCCCCTCCCCTCTCTCGCCCGCTCTCGCCCCTCTCTCGTCCCCCGTGTCGCTCCCTGTCGGCTACTGGAGCGCTTGGCAATGATGTGGCGGCAGGAGTGAGTGACCTGAGGGCGTATGAGCAGTAGCTGGGAGACAGCACGTCAGACGTTGGCTCGCACCCGCAGTCCCAGGAGGTGAGAATGCTTCTCTTGTCCGCCCATGTCCCCTCTTGCCCCTCCCCTCTCTCGTCCCCTCTTAACCTCTCGTTTTCCCTCACACAGATCCGCCGGCTCGTTTTACATTTCCTCACGTTCTCCCCTCTCACTTCCTCCCTGCACCCTTTCGGCCTCACTACACAGCCGTCAGTTGCTGCAGCCCCGCCTGCTACGGCCATGAGCCATGGATCAGGGCCGGGCACGCTGCCTGCCTCTGCTCTCAGGCAGTACCTGGCTCAGAGGCAGGAGGCAGGGGCATACTACCAGCAGCCACAGCATCAGGAGCAGCAGCAGCAGCAGCAGCAGCCACAGCAATCGAAAGATAATGGCATGGCAAATGAGGCTGGTGAAAGGGTAACGGGTGGGCTTCCTGGGGAGGTGGAGGCTGGGCAGGTGCATGTGGGAGGGTCTCAGGATGATAACGGGGCAGCAGGGAAGTGGGTGACGGGCAGCGAGCCAATCACCCTAGAGGAAGCCACCCAGGGCCATAGAGTGGGGCACCAAGGGGAGGAGGCCCAGCAGCAGCAGCAGCAGCAGTATGTGAGCAACCAGCAGCAGCAGCAGCAGAAGCAGCAAGGCATAGGTGCAGCAGCAGCAGCAGCAGCAGAGCCACCAGAGAAGCGGGGCGAGGAGAAGGACCCCCAGAGAGCGCACGATTCCTTGCAAGAGCAGCTGGAAGGTGTGCCTGTTTTCTCCCAGAACGCCCTCTTTTCGCAGGGGCCTATCTTCTCCCAAGGCACTCCAGATGACTACCCCTTCCGCTTCCTCTCCACGCCTAGTGACGAGCCAGGGGATACCTCTCCCAAGAAAACTGAGAGCGGGGCTGTAGCAGGAGTGACTGTAGCCGGTGTTACTTTAGCAGATGCAGCTGTAGCTGATGCAGCGGCTGTAGCGGCCCCAGCAACGCCCCGAGTGCCCTCATCTGCTGACGTGGCAGCTAGTGCCGCAAGCTCTGGGAACATGGAGGTTCCAGTTATAGAGGGAGGTACACTTGGGTTAGGCTATACTGGTGCGACTGGTAGAGTGGGAGAGGCGGAGGGATCGGGGGAAGGCAAATGCCTCTGGAAGCCGGCTCCTAGGAGGTTCTCCCCTCCTGCTGCTGCTAGGGCTGCTGCTGGGGGTGATTCTTCCCCCGGGGCTGCTGCTGCTGTTGCGACTGCTGCAGCTGCTGCAGCAGCTGGTGCTGGTGCTAGTGTACCTGCTGGGAATTTAAGCGACTCGCTAAAAGACTCGCTTAAAGACCCATGGTCGATCCCCACCAGCCAGGAGCTCCCCCTCCCCTCCACACCCATCTTCTTAAGTCAGGAGCTTCCCCCTATCGAGCACCTGCCCTCGTCCCTCCCCTCCATGCCCCCCTCCCAAGACCCTACGGCCTGCTTTGAAGCCACACAGCCAGTGGAGCTGGGCGAGGGGGAGGGAGGAGAGTGTGGTTTGGGACAAGAGGAGGGAATGGGGGAAGGGGCAGGTGGGATGGGGGAGCGGGGTGTTGGGCAGATGGGTGGGAAGGGAGAGGGAGGGATGGGGGAGATGGGGGGGCAGGAGAGTGGGGAGGAGTCGGATGAGCCGATTCAGGAGACACAAGTGGAGGCAGAAGAGGTGGACGAGCAGGGTGTGCATGTGCAACAGCATGTGCATCAGCATGTGCATCAGCATGGGCAACAGGGCATGCATATGGATGGACAAGGGTTGCAGAGGCACGAGGCGGGGAGGAAGGAGGGTGCTGTGGAGAATATGCAGGTGGCAGCAGAGTCGCCACACTTAAACGGGAGCGGTGAGTGTGGCAAGGAGAACGGCAGCAGTGAGGCCAAGGACTCCTCACCGTTGGATCTGCTGATGCGCGCACTGTCGAGTGAACAGGATGGGGATGGGGATGGAGGGAGAGAGTGTATGGGAAGAGGGGACAATGAGGGAGAAAGAACGGAAATGAGAGAGGGGGGTGATGAGACAAGGCGTGAATCGACAAGGCATGAGGTTGCAGGTCTAAGGTATCCTTCTGCCGTTCCCACCGCTGGCGCAGCTGCCACCACCACACCCCCTGCTGCTGCCAGCAAAGCTATTTCAGCTCAAATGGGTGCAAAGACCAGTGCAGAGATGGTCACAGTAGCTGGGAGTAGCAGGGGCATGGACGGCTCTAGGGAGGGTGTGTCTGGGGCAGGTGCACCTGGGAAGGAATCCGCTGGGGGAGCAGCAGCTGGTGCAGCAGGTAGCCATGGGGTAGCAGCCGGTGCTGGTTGTGGGCTTGGGGCGGCTTTCTGGATCGGCAGCAGTGGTCCGGGAATGAGCAATGGCATGTGGGGGGAGTGGATGGGGCCTGCCAGGTCCGGTGAAACGGAGCTGGTTGGGGGTTTAGGTTCAGAAGGGCAGGCAGGCTTAGGTTCGGAATGCCAGGGTCGGGATAAGGGCCATTTGAAAGGGGAGGAGAATGGAGGAACGGAGGAGGATAGGAGAGGGATGGAGGAAAAGAAAGAGCAGGGTGAGGAGGAGGTGCTAGCTGAAGGGAGTGGAGGGAGAGGAGGGAGGGGGAGACAAGGAGAGGGGCTTGAGGTGTCTTCCTTGGGTTCGGAAAAAACAACCATTCCTCGCATGTTCCTCAGGAACTCACACCAAGAGCAGAGCGAAGGGGATTCTTCCCAGAGGAGCAGCAGCGTGGGTGGATCGAGCAGGGGAAAGGCGGTAGGGGCAGCGGCAGGTGGAAGGAAGGGGAAGAGGGGAGGGACTAGTGGGGGTAGAGGGAGGAGGAAGGGGACGGGTGGTGGGGAGAGTGGGGGAGGGAAACGGCAGGTAGGAGGATGGAGGAATTGGACGATTGATACATGAGAGACGAGCTGGAGGGTTTAGTGGAACGTATAATTACCGTAGTTGGGTTGCTTTGGTTTGGTTTGGCAATGGCTTGCTCAATTGGCCACTTGCCTGATTCGTTTTGGCTTCGTTTGGAAGTGATCCCTAGCAGATGGAAATGCACATCTTATGTAGTGGGTGCACATGTTCCTTGTAAAGGAAGTTGGCCACTTATTATTCGTGTGGAGCATGACTTACTATCACGTCGCGCAAATCTCGGATCAGATTAGACCGGACCGGCGCCGCGATCAATCTGGTCAATCCGGCGCCTTTTCCTACACCCCGGTCCGCACGCCGCCTGCTGCACGCCGTCCCGCGCACCGTTTGGTTCAGCCTTACGTATATAGCAGCTCGAAATGGTGGCTTCTGGCATCCGCAAGCGACGCTCACAAATTCACTTGAACTCCCCACCCTTTTCAACGCAGAGATTTCAGCCGTACGATCCCCTTCTCTGCTCCTTCAACTGGACGATCCTCTTCTGCTGCAAGTATCCTCGAGTAACCATCCTCAACGTCTCGTTTGAACCGTTCGGTCGAGCAACTGCAAAACTCCGTTTTCTGATTTAGCTGAAACAGCATCTTGTCAAACATGTGTAGTTATCATGTTTGTATAGACTGTATAGGGTCACCTTCTAGAGAGTACAACATTTAGGTATATGTTTGTGTACTCTCTCTCTCTTACATTATTAAATTCTAGGTTTGATATGGTATCACGAGTAGGTTTCGACCCCCCCCCCCCCCACCTACCGCTTCCGCTCCTCCCGTCGCGTCTCCTAGCCTCGCCTCGCCCCTCCTGAGCCCAGTCGCGACCCCTCCCCCTAGCCCCGTCGCGCCCCTTCCAGGGCCTCGTAGCGCCCCTCCAGGCCCCGTCGCGCCCCCCTTCCAGGGCTTCGTAACGCCCCTCCAGGCCCCCGTCGCGCCCCTCCAGGGCTCTGTAGCGCCCCTCCAGGGCCCCGTCGCGCCCCCTAGCGCCCCTCCTGGGCCCCGTAGCGCCCCTCCAGGGCCCCGTCGCGCCCCTTCGCGCCCCTCCTGGGCCCCGTAGCGCCCCTCCAGGGCCCCGTCGCGCCCCTTAGCGCCCCTCCTGGGCCCCGTCGCGCTCCTCACAGGCCCCGTAGCGCCCCGTAGCGCCCCTCCTGGGCCTCGTCGCGCCCCTCCTGGGTTTCGTAGCGCCCCTCCTGGGCTTCGTAACGCCCCTCCCAGGCCCCGTCGCGCCCCTCCTGGGCTCCGTAGCGCCCCTACTGGGACCCGTCGCGCCCTCCCTGGGCCCTGTAGCGCCCCTCCTGGGCCCCGTCGTGCCCCTCCCAGGCCCCGTCGCGCCCCTCCTAGGCCCGTAGTGCCCCTCCTGGGCCCGTAGCGCCCCTCCTGGGCCCCCATTGCGCCCCTCCTGAGCCCCGCCGCGCCCCTCCTGGGCCCCCATTGCGCCCCTCCTGGGCCCGTAGCGCCCCTCCTGGGCCTGTTGCGCCCCTCCTGGGCCCTGCCGCGCTCCTCCCTGGGCCCCGTATCCACCCTCCTGGGCCCCGTCGCCCCTGCTCGGCCCCGTCGCCCCAGCTCGGCCCTGTCGCGGCCTCTCGGCCCCGTGGCGCCCGCCCTGCCCCTGTCGCAGCTGCCCGGCCCCTGTCGCACCTGCCCGGCCCCGTCGCGCCCGCCCGGCCCCGTCGCCCCCGCCCGGCCCTGCTGTGTCCTGCCCGGCCCCGTCGCTGCCGCCCGGCCCTGTCGCTGCCGCCCGGCCTCGTAGCTGCCGCCCGGCCCTGTCGCTGCCGCCCGGCCTCGTAGCTGCCGCCCGGCCTTGTCGCTGCCGCCCGGCCCCGTCGCAGCTGCCCGGCCCCGTCGCAGCCGCCCGGCCCCGTCGCAGCCGCCCGGCCCCGTCGCAGCCGCCCGGCCTCGTCGCTGCCGCCCGGCCCCGTCGCAGCCGCCCGGCCCCCCGTCGCGCCTGCCCGGCCCCGTCGCGCCTGCCCCGGCCCTCCATACTTCCTGGTACTGTCCCCCGTTCCCCGCACCACTTTGCACCCTCCTGCACTTTCCTGCCCCGCCTTGCACCGCATTGCACCTCACTGAACCGCACTGACCGCACTGCACCGCACTGGACCGCACTGCACCGCACTGCATCGCACTGCACCGCACTGGACCGCACTGCACCGCCCTGCACCGCACTGCACAGCACTACACCGCACTCCACTGTCCTCCACTGCCCCTCATGGCTGCTGAGCTTCGTTTTGATGCTGAGGGTCAGCCTCTGGAGTTCGAGGCGTGGTTGGCTGACCTTCGCCGCCACCTCACTGGTCAGCGGCAGGACGGCCACCCGCTTTCTGCACACCTAGACGGTATGCTCCCCTGCCCTGACCCCCCTGCTGTGCTGCCCGCTGATCCCACGCCCGCTGAGCGCGAGTCCACTGCCGCCGCTGCCCTTGCCCGCTCTGTCTGGCTTTCCCGCGATGCCCTTGTTCAGCTCGCCATTAGCAATGCCCTCCCCCCCCTTGAGCGCCCTCGCTTTAGAACCATTACTACCGCCCAGGCCTACCTCGATGCTGTCATCAAGCGCTATTCTACCCCTCCTGCTGCCTCAGTGGGTCGCCTGATCCTCCCCCTGCTCTTTCCTGACCTGGCGTCCTTCCCCACTGTCTCTGACCTCGCTGCCCACCTGCGCTCGAGAGATGAGGCCTGGCGCGCTGCCTGCACTGATGCACAGCTTAGAGTCCACCAGCCTCCCATGACCTCTACCCTCTACCTCCTTGCCACCCGCCTCCCTGACCGCCTTGCCGCCGCCCGCGACCAGTTCCTTAGCATCCACCCTGCTGCTCTCACCCTCACCGACTTTGTTGACACCCTGACTGCCATAGAGACTCGTCACCGCTCCATAGCCCAGGCGAGCGGTACAGTACCGGTCCCTATCTTTCAGGGTTGTGCCCCCGCTCAGTGTACCTTCTCCGACGGCTCTGTCGCTGTGGCTGAGACTGCTGCTGCAGTGCAGTCCCGCTCGGGGAAGGGCCGCCGCCCCAAGGTTGGGAGCGGCGGAGGTGGCGGGGGTGCGGGTGGGGGTAGTGGTGGAGGCGGGTCGTCCGGTGCCGGTGCGGACGTGGGGACCCTGCCCGGTCCAGCTGCCCCGCTGCCTCCACCGTTGCAGCAGCCGCAGCAGCAGCAGCCTCCGCAGCAGCCGCAGCAGCCGCCGCAGACGAGGCCGGCGAGTGCTCTCCCGCCTGGGTGGCCTGGAGCTGGTGGTGGTCGTGCGCGTGGTGGTGCACCGGGTGGTGGTTCTGGAGGCGGGCCCTGTCAGTACCAGATCCAGACCGGTCCTTGCCGCGGCTTCGTTTGCGGTAAGATCGGTCATTCCACTCCTCGCTGTTTTCGTCGTCTGGACGACCTGTTCCGCCAGCGCTTTGGCCCGGCGCCCGACCTCCCGGACTGGCACAGCTTGCTTAGGCGTAGCATTCGGATTTTTTACTTGGACATGGATGCCATTGTAGCAGCCTTGCATGTGATGTATGCCGATGACTCTAGTGTGCTTCCCTCTTATTACCCCGTGTTGCCTAGTGTAGCTGTGCCTAGCGTAGACTCCCCTGCTGCGTCAGGCGTAGGATCTCCTGCTTTGCTTAGCCTTGGTGCTTCCACCGCTTCACTGTCGCCCCGCGCGACTGCTGCGCTTTCCTTCACCTTGGACTCTGGCGCCTCCCGGTGTTTCTTCCGCGACTCCACGACGCTGACGCCGTTGCCTGTTCCTGCTGCAGTTACTCTTGCTGACCCCTCCGGTGGTCCCGTCTTTGCCCGCAGTTCCACCTCCCTTCCCTGTCCGGCGGTTCCTTCAGGTTCGCTCACCGGACTGCATATCCCCTCGTTCTCCAGGAACCTAGTTGGTGTCGGCTGCCTCCAGGACCTTGGCGTCACCACTACGTTCCCTGGTCACGAGCGGTATGCTGTCTGTACCGAGGCCGCCACTGGTGCCCCCCTTACCACTTTCCCCCGGGACCCGGTGTCCGGCCTGTTCACACTTGACACCGCGACGTCCCCGGCTGGGTCTTCCCCCCAGGTAGCTGCGTCCACCCAGGTTGCTGCTGCGTGCTCCTGTCGGTCCCTCACTCATCCGACTCTCCTTTGGCACCACCGCCTTGGTCACCCTGCACTCCCGCGTCTGCGTCACATGTCCCAGCACGGTCTCGTCCTTGGTCTCCCCGGTTCGTTCCCTGAGTTTCCCTCATCCCCCGCCCCACCGTGCACGCCTTGTGTCGAGGGCCGGCTCCGCCGTGCCCCTCACTCCTCCTCTTTTCCCCCTACCACCGCACCCCTGCAGACTCTGCACATGGACGTCTGGGGCCCAGCCCCGGTCCATGGGCCGCGTCGCGAGCGCTTCTTCCTAGTGCTTGTCGACGACTTCACACGTTACACCACCGTCTTTCCCCTGGAGCGGAAGGCCGACGTGCCTGACGTTCTCATCCCCTGGCTTGTCTCTGCTCGTCTCCACCGCGGTCTCCCTGCCTTGCGCCTCCACTCCGACCGGGGTGGCGAGTTCGCCTCAGGTGTCCTTGGTCGCTTCTGTCGTGCGGAGGGCATCACCCAGACGTTTACCCTGCCGGACTCCCCGCAGCAGAATGGGGTCGCTGAGCGACGCATCGGTTTGGTCATGGAGGTGGCTCGCACCTCCATGATCCACGCCGGTGCACCCCATTTTCTGTGGCCGTTCGCCGTGCGCTACGCCGCTCACCAGCTTAACCTGTGGCCGCACCCCCAGCGGCCGCAGGTTTCGCCGACCCTTCTGTGGACCGGGTCCCCTGGTGACGCGTCTGCGTTCCACGTCTGGGGCTGCCTTGCTCACGTTCGTGCCTCTGGCACGGACAAGCTCACTGCCCGCACCCTCCCCTGCGTCTTCCTCGGTTTCCCCCTTAACGCGTCCGACTGGCACTTCTACCACCCGCCGTCTCACCGTTTCTTTCACTCTCGCGACGTCACCTTTGACGAGTCCGTCTCCTTCTACCGCCGCTTTCCCCACCATGGTCCCCCGGTTACTCCCCCCCTGTTCCTGGTTCCTCCCTCCCTGGTGGCCCCTGCCCCTCCCCCCCCCCGCCCCCCCGTCCGGCCCCCTCTGGTGTGTCTCACGTCACCCCCCTCCCGTCGGTCGTTCCGGTCGACGAGTCTTCTGACTCTGGTAGTCCTTTGGCGCAGTCCTCGCCGTCTGTCCCTCCCCCGGTGTCTCCTCCT